CACACAAATGATTTACCTACGTACATGTGAGTGATAACGATTACAAGGTACTGTATTTATATGGCGATCATGCACTCTCTTGAACAATTACAACTCATCAAGTGTTAGTCTGTTATTTTCAGTCCATCGTTTCATGGTTCTTTATCAAGAAAAATACAGTTTCAACATATGTACTCATTTTATTTTAACCCCTTGATCGACCTTTCGCAAGTTTCTCGCGGAAACAGAAGCAAAGAGTAATTCTATTCCGTTTTAGCTGGTTTTGGCAGATTTTTTTCTGCATTTTACTGGATATTTGTTATCCTGCTAATACCGGTTTAGCTGGCTTGACTGCAATCAACGCACTATGAAAATCACCCTCGCCCAGAAACCTGAATGGAGCACCGCCTTCGATTGAATACCGATTGCAAAATGTTGTTAACCTATCTTCTGTGACGAGCTCAGGATCAAACACACCGTGTGTGGTTGCCCAGAAATATTTACGAATGCTCTCGCCGTTTTCAAACTGGTGATCGCTTCTTTTCACGTCGTAACTCTTAACTATGTCAAAGCCAGCAGCTTTGCACATCTTTTCGACACCTGACCTAGATTCGAAGTAATGCATGTCTATTATGCGATTGATATTTTCTGGGTTCAGTTCGCGATAGGCGTGATCATACAAAGTCGGCATGTGATCACTGTACTGCAGCGCAATCTTTCCTGTTGGTTTGAGACTGCTGAACATGTTCTTGAATAGCTCTTCTTTGTCTGGAATCCAGTGCAGCACATAGTTGCAGAAAATGATGTCGTAAGTTTCTGTCCCCATTCCTGGAAAGTTGGACGCGCTTCCTTCGAGAAATACAAGATTCTTTACACTGGTGTGGGACTTCTGGGCCACTTGAATCCTATCGACGTCGGGATCGACAGCCACAACTTTGCCTTCTTGACCAACTAACTGAGCTAGGTAGGCGGACAGCTCACCAGTACCGCAGCCTAAATCCAAGATGGAGTCTCCAGGACAAGGCCTTGCATCTTCAAGAAATCGTTTCCCGTCCTGTCTTTGAAAATGTGCGATATCTGCTGGTAGCCCACTGCTTGCTTGACGTCTGACATTCTGGCTTCTCACTTGTTCCGGACGCCGGGATAAAGAGACTCTGAAGTACTGAGAGTATCAAAAGAGAAGGTTATGTCTTAACTCTCTCCTTGCTGCAGCAACTGCCTAGAACTTGAACAAGAGCTTCTTTTAAGCTGTTTTTTGTGCACGCATCGGTTCATCCGTGCAAGTGCTCGTGTCATTTCCTTTACGTCTTTAAAACAAGGAACAAAGTACAATTAGCGCAATAACTGATGTTCTTAATTCGGTTCCGCAATTTTGCAATGTTAATGTATGGTGATCCAACAGAGGGTTTTAACTAAAGTGGCCAGCATCCGTCTAAATTTATTGGAAAAAAAGAAAGTGTCTACATAAGAAAAGAGTTCAACTCCCACAGGATTGGTTTGGTCCAGGTAAGCTCTCTTGCACTACTGAAAACATGAGATTGCTTAGTTTTGTCAGATCTGAGGCTTCTTTTAGTCGCTTTACTTCACAAATAAGACAGCCTTGGCCGTGCTTTGCTCTGTCAAAAATCATACATGATATTATTTTCCCTCATCATGAACAAGGAAAAAAG